TTATCGGTCCTATGTGCAGGTTTTATTTGTATTCTAAGAATATTTACGTTAATTGGGTCAACAATGGAAATTGAACTTTTCTTATGAAATCCTTTTTTCTCAGCTCCTCTGCATCGCAGGGAAAACCGCCGCATACTGTTAGAAAGATATTTACCTGTAGATGTGCGGAACCCCTTTACAAATTAAATTAGGCAAAAAATAAGCACAAAAAATGGATTTAATTATTTGAAATTTTACTATTTGAAAATTTAAAAATGAATTATTTATTTAAAATTAAAAATAAATTTACATGGGCCTTATGGGTTGCCATATTGGTGACGAAATAACAACAAAATATAAACAGAAAGTCAAAACAAATGGAAGCAATTCCAATTACATGTTTTATTTACAGCGTGGGGTGAAATAGAGAAGTTTGCACAATACATACTTTTGGTCGAGCTTTCGACCACGGGGCGAGCTCTACAGTAGTTAGTATGGAAAATTTAAATTAATTAAATAGTTATGTTAGATTAAACAGAAAAAAATGAGTATGTTTTTACTGACCACGTAACTTTCGACGTTTAGACATTTCTTTATCATTTAAATATTTTGTCATAGACCACCATCATCAATGCAGCATTAAATACAACCAAGTTGTATATAATGAAATTTTAGTTGGAAATTCTCTACTTGTAAAGTTATAACGGACTCAGTTAGACATAAAATATTAGGCAATTTAACAGTTGCTGAGTTATCAGTATGGTGGATCCGCTGTGCCTTATCAAGACGTAAAAGTTTCTTAATTTTGCTCTTTCAATTAATTATACATGACATATTTGCAAGAAACAGCAGTTTCAAGCTCTTCTGCAAAATATTGCTTGACATTTTAAAGTAGACATGAATGATTAATGCTGAAGTATTATGCACTATAACGAGACTGCACAAGGAATGTAGAAAAGAGGTAATATAAAAATGTATGTATTATTTATAAGTTATTACGATTAGCGCCTAACTGCTGGGTGACGGAACTATTACGCAGTCAAATAGCATTGGTAATTCGAACCCAGTCCATGAGAGCAATAGTCCCTCCTAGGATTGAAAAAGATTAAAATGCCCATTTCAGTGTACAGGGATATTCATTAGAATGGTGCAAAAGTATGGTCGATTCATTTGTGTACTCTGAGCTTCAAACTCATGTTATAAGAATTACACTGTTTTTCAAATTAAAAAGTTTTTATTTACATTAAGAAACACATTACATGCAATAAAAACGCACGATGTGAGCTCCATTGAAAACTCTGCAAATATCCATGTGAAATACCAACCCAGCCGAGATATTCTGTAGGATTTCCCTCATAGGACGGCCCGAACTCTCCCGGCACACAAACATCCAGTTTTCTTGGATTGCCTTACCCAACCAGCTAAGCAGTTCCGACGAGGAGCCTCCTTCCTAAATTTGGTCCGAAAGTTCCGCTGAAGACTAACAATAGCATTAGTTCGAGCAAACTCTGAAAGACAATAGTTATTTGTATAACTAGTGAGGCGAATGCGGGATGATCTCGAGTGCAGCAAAGACCTTTTGCACTCGTGTTACACATTATATTTTTCCTACAGTCACTATAAAGCATATAAATAATCAGTCTTTCAACCACTATACAACACGTTTTTAGGTTCAGCTGACAACACAAATAGATGCCCTAGAGAAAGTAGTACCCGGTCCGTATCACTCCGCTATTTTTCCTCGGCAAGAAATGTGCTCCGCGACTTGAGAAAATAGTTCCGTGGGTTTTTATAATTTGAAGTGGTTTCCGCGCCTAAAAAAATGCTTTAAAGGTACTTTATTGTTTATTAAGATCGTAGGAATGTTTTAAAACGTTTAAAAGAAAAGTCCAGAAAGTCCAGAAATACCGAAACTATAAACACGAAATGACAGGTTAAATCATAGTTATAATAGTCAATCAGCTGCTCATAGTATTATTATCTTTTTTACAGTCAGCTTTTTTAATTATATAAGAAGGAGTACCAATCGTTAAGCTTTGCACCATTCTTATTGATAATCCCGTATACTTGTAACTGGCATAACCTAACACGTTTATAGACAAAAATACCACTATAAAGTAAAGAAATTGCAACGATTTATAATAGGTGATTGTATATTATATGAATAAACAAATTAAATTATCTATTAAACAGATAAAAATACCTATTAATCTACTCATGAAGATATATCATTTCTGTAATGGTAAAACGTAACGGTGCAGGTAAAGGAAAAGGTATCAAAGCTATTATCACGTTTTTTTGTGTCCCATAAAATTTGGATATAGGTTTGAACAAATTATTGATAATGTATTAGGCACGAGGCCAGTAACTCTGCCTTACAAGTTTCCAGATGGTCTTTAGCACGGCAATATTTTATAATAATGATGAGATAAAGCCACTTTATGATGACGCCTTCCTTTAAGGAAATATTTATTTTACACTTAGTAAAAAGCGCAATAAAAGAGTGTAAAACTGAACATTTTCTTTTAGGAAATAAGTTTTTGACCGTTCAATCATATTGTTCATAGATGATGCTCATTTCAGTAGGGGATTTTTACTTCTTAATTAAGGTTTTCAATATTAATTATACTTTAAAATTGTCAAACTCAAACAAATTCATTTGTGAGACATAAACACTCGAGAATTATAACGCCAATACACATTGTTTTGATGCACTGTTACAGAATATGAGTTTATTAATTTGTCAACATAGAAAGCAGTTTGAGATGGAATAAAACATATTTGATTCCCCCGCACCTGCGCCAGATTTTGTCTCGGGACATTGCAAACCGTGTTCTAAAAATATAAATTCTTCAATAAAAATATATTTCATTTCATAGGAACCCATTCAACAATTAATTTCTATACAGATTTTATATGTTTTTATTGATCAGTTATGGTATAATAAGTGGAGAAATATAGGGTTTATTTTAACTCAATAATACCTACTTTACAACATTAAAATAAAAATTATTTTATATCATGAAATAAATCTTTTTCACCAAACTATGCTGTTTTTAGCAGTTTTACAAACGTTAATTGGAGGCTGAAAGTAGCGTATTGCTGTCCAGTGTCCATGTCATCGGTATTTTAGGACCGAGCAGCTTTTTACATCCCTAGGGCTGAAAATCAGCTGTTAACTTATTTAATTAAAACATTAGTGTATATTAAATAACGTGAAAAAAAGCGTTCATACCACGGGCCGAATGGGTTTTGCAGCTCTCGATCGTTAGTATTATCTCAACTTCATCTAGAATCTAAAAAAGATCTCGAGCCAGCAAAACCTAATTTTCGGCCCTAGGTATGAAATATACTATTAAAACATACGGATGTGACGAAATATATGCCTATGTAGAAACAGTTCTTTTTTGGATCAGAAATGTCGTAATGATACTAACATTTTTACAAACTTTATAAAATTTACTGATAATTTTAAAAGTGAAAATCAATTATTTAATTTATAAGATTCAGGTCTTATGGTTTAGTATTGATAATTAAAAGAATTAAGTAAAAGTTGTAAACAAAGCAGTTTTAAAACACTGCATTTGCCTTTATGTAATAAGCAAAAAAACTCCTTTGAAAAATTTACATAGAATTCTGATGTATATTTTACTATTTTTATATTTGCTATGAGTTTAAACCTGTTATGTTATTGAGCTCCTATGTGGCTTTGTGTATTTACTATACTGTTACCACAGACTATAGAATATGTGATGTTTTTGATATTATTTTTCTTTGATATTTCTATTTTACAATGACCAAAATGCCGAGAAACTCAATCGTAATTTTTTAGCTAAATTAATCAAGAACAACTAGGGATTTATAATTTGATATGGACTTAGAACAAACCCAATTATTCCAACTTAAGATATGAGAAAATACCTAACATATATTTAAATATACCATTAGTCATCTAAAATTATCTAAATTTTTAATTCTTAGGAAAACTTAAAACATTAAAGATTATAATTTGAATTGTGTATTGATACAATGTTTAAAACATTGTTTGTAACAAAATAATTACTAATTATCGATTAACGTAAAAGAAAACGACAAACCTAAAACTACATCACATTAACGCTCTTTTATCCTTTAATTAGCTCGTAAAACTATTCTTGTAAAAAATAGTTAATTAATTAAAGAATCAATAATTGATAGTGTTTTATTGATAGATATTTTAGTAATGTAACATTTTAATGTAGTAACTCAAGTTTATTTTATCACAAATCTATATTGTAACTGAATCATCATATATTAATATTAATATTATTTATCTAAAGAAGTAAAAAACTGTCAATTATCATCGATTAATTTTTTGAAACTACGATGTTTTGTTTTATTTGATTTGAACCGTGATAAGGTGTCTAAGTAAAGTAATATTTTTAAACTCAATCATTTTAAACCTCACCTGTTGATGTGGGGTGTATAGTGTGTTGTTGGTTATTTGTTGTTGTAGCATCAAAAGTACTGTAGTAGTATCTAAAGTCAACGTATGTTTTTATTGTTAATTATTTGGTCTATTCCTATTATTACAGATTCTGTTTATGTTAAGTAATGTTTGCTGTAAATTTTTATTATTTTTAAGATTGTTTTCATAGATTGTTTATACATTGTTTTATAGTTAGTGTTTATGGATTGTTTATTAGCATTTGCGCTCGTAACACTTAACCGGTTTAATTAGTATTTTTAATATTATATTAATACTATTATTTTAAATAGATTTCTAGCAAAACCAGGAGTCTTGTTTCAAAATTGTTTTCCCTCATGTAATAGACATCTAGGCTACCTACAATTATCACAATTGATTTCATGCAATTCAATGTGATTATTAAACAGTATGTAAGTAATTATCGAAGACAAAATATAGTACCTAGGTACTTCTTGATTGTATGTACAGTAATTAATTATCTGTTACAACAACAATACAATACAACAACACCTTTTTAAACTGGAAAAATCTATGTTGTATTGATGTAAATTCATTACAATAATACATTTCTATAGACAACATTGTAAGATTTGTTATTCTCAGCCAATAACAAATGGAATGGCAGATTATTAGGAATAATCGGGATTCTTGGAATCAAAACGCTTTCTCCTTTAGCTGTTCCAGTCAGAATAGTGGCATGTACTATGTTTCTTCCTAGCTCTGTGACTCGAAGCCTAGTGCCATTGCACAATCTTGGTGCATCAAGGTTGCGCATCAGCAGAACTGGTACGCCAACTTTTAGCTCGAGTTTATGGGAAGGCACGCCTGTTAGTTCCAATGAGTTTAGAAATTCTACAGGGTAAGTGGGACTGTCGTCACTGCTCATCACAGTGTCTATTGACGTGTATATTTTTGACTCCCCTGCTAACATTGCCAATATATGTTTGTTGATGTTGTTGACAGACTCATTTGTTGGAGATAGAACTGCCCTCTCGCATAACCATTCTTCGTTGCTTATATTCCTTTGTATGTTTGGATAAACGTGAGCAATAAGTTCATCCTCTGTTGTCACTGGATGACAAAAATCATTGGTAAATTCGATTTTTCCATCTGTGTCTGTTTTTAGGAGACCCTCTCCTATTTTCAGAAGCTTAGACGCATAGGCACCTGACTCCAAATCGTTGAAAAGCTGGACACGCATGTTACATGTAAGCTGGAGCTTTATTACCTTGGACCACAGTTGAGACGCCTTTAGACATGCATTCATCTCATCCACCGGTGTCCCCCTCTCAATAACGGGCAGTGTCTGTCTGAAGTCACCAGCGAGCAGAACTACAACACCTCCCATTAGAGATTGGTTGCTGCGTATATCTTGCAGGCTGAAGTTCAAAGCCTCTAAGGCGTGCTTGTGCGACATAGTGCACTCGTCCCACACAATTAACTTGCACTGTTGCAGGAGAGCACCGCGGTTGCTATTTTTACTTATGTTGCATGTAGGGGTCTCTTGGCTTGCTAGATTTAATGGCAATTTAAAAGTAGAATGTGCTGTCCGTCCACCGTTCAACAACGTTGCAGCGATTCCCGAGGAAGCCACAGCCAGGGCTATGTTCCGGTCCTTGCGAAGTCGGGCGAGCAGTAGGTTTAACACAAATGTTTTACCAGTACCCCCTGGTGCGTCCAGAAAGAAGAGTCCCCCATTACTACTATTTACATGCTGTATAATTACATCGTAAACGTGCCTTTGTTCGGGAAGCAAACGTGGCTCCATATCATGGACAAAGATATCTAAGGCAAAGGCATCGTAATTCAGTTCTCTTACAACATCGCTTGACAATTCTCCCCTTTGTTCTGGAGTGGGCAAACCGAAGTCTGTCATTTTCATCCCAGATAAATTAGTTATTTTGTTCTCTATTAACTTTAATGCCTCATTAACTATCAATTCTATGTGCGTACCTTGGAGTCTATGAGCTATATCTTCTGATAATGCAACCTTGTACTTGTCCCACAGTTGAAGTGGATTTGAGAGACCGCAAGTACTTACTATAACTGCAAACAACTCTCTGACTTTAGCTGGTGATCGGCACAGCACGGCTTCATCCATGGTAGCGTCCCAATGGTCGTCACTTTCTAAAAGCCCACGTGCCTCACAGGCTTTTCTAAATGTAGCATGTTCTTGTCCACCCACTGTTTTAAGATCGTGGAAGCTTGATGGGCCCCGTACTTGATTAAGCAGCATGCGCAAGCAGTAGCACTCAAAGTTGCTGACATGTACGGTATATATACGACCTAGTGCGTCTGCAGCTTTTACTCCCGGCCAGTTCTCAACAGGCTTTCCTTGTTTGCGGCGCTTCCACTCTTTCGCCGATGCATTCCAGATATAATAACGTGGTACTTCAACATAGAGCAAAGTTTTTGAAAATTCATCATTTTGACAAAGTTGGAAGAATGCAGTTAAAGTCGTCATAGGAGGAGTAGCGATTCTGTCGTGGAGATTTTGATCATTGAAGAAGACACGCTCGCCATTGGGCAAGTGCACCGCGAGATGGGTTACAGTGGGGTATCTCTCGTGCATTGGAAATCCCAATATACGCCACGCTGCTTCGTTACTGCTCACGTAACGTCCAGCTCTGAAACTCTGCACTTCATCCCTAGAATCAATGTTCACATTATCGGATTGCCTAACATTAAATATTGCCTGATCATTCCCTTTGTTAATATATTTGCAAATGTATTTTATGGCCTGTACAGAGCCACAATACTCCACATTCACATGGGCAGTAAACATTTTAAGGAGTAGGGGATTATATGGCACAATCCAGCTGTTATCTATTACAACTTCTTCTCCACCACGTATTCGAATAGTAGCTGTGCGTCCTCCATCCTCTGGCGCTGCACGTCTATACAGAGGGTAACCATTCGCATTTGTTTGAGTGGCATCTAGTAGCGCCCGAGGGTACGTCTTTGTGCACTTACTGTCCTTCATACAGGGAGCTGATGTATTATAATTGCCACATGGTCCGTGGATCATATGTTTTAGAACTGCGTCATACAGTTTTTTGTCGGTTTCAGGATCTGGGATTTCAGCACTAATTATGTCATCCATTTGATTTAGACGCAATTTTTCTTTAAGCCACAGTAAAACATGTACGTGTGGTAAGCCACGCTTCTGCCACTCTATTGAGTACATAAAGCACTGGCAATCTCCAAATACTTTACCTTTCGTGAGCAGAGATATAAGTTTTTTCACTTTCAATTCAAAAACTCTGGCAATGAGGTCGTGGCGATCTGTAGCTTTCTGACCAGGCATGAGTTCATCAGTTATCTCATTCCAAGAGGGGTTACACGTAAACGTGATGAATAAGTCCGGGCGTCCATAGTTACGGACATAAGCAAATGCATCTTGCGTGTACTCGTGAAGATATCGAGGGCTGTTAACAAAAGTTGACGGAAGAATCACCATCTGTCCTAAATCATTAGGATTCACATTGTTGTCGTTTCTTACAGCATCCTGCAGGTGTATGTAATTTTCAGCCCGTAACTTTTTCTGGTTCAATGAGATAAACCTCAAACGTTCGCTTTCTATTTTTACATACATATCTACCAGAAATTGATGTAAAAGTTTATTGCAGCGCAGAAGTAAATTGAATTCATTTGCACACACCATGATTTGAAATGCATAAAAATCCATGCATGACACTTTTTTATTTGGCAAAGGCTGTCTAGTGAGTGGGTTAATTTGGGGTATATCAAAGTGGTATCCTTCTTGGCCATTCCAGAAAATTATCGGATACTGAAGGGCATCATAGAACCTATGCGTGTCCGCGACACGGGATAGCTTGTCATCGCGGGCGTGCAACACAATGTCTCTACTTGTAGAATGATCATTGCCCACTACAATGGCTGCCACTTCGTTTATGGTGGGTAAGTTGTATCGTCTCTCATGCTGCCCATGAGGGACGCGATCAGGGTGGATTATTAATTTGCAGCTTTCATCCGGCATAACCTCTATCGCAGTTTTAAACTCTTTGATTAAATTATTATGCTCATGAAGGACTGTCTGTACTTTTCTTAGCGTTGGTTTTTCAACCCCTGGTACGATTTCAAATCTTCTATCAGTTTCTGCTTCCTCATCTCCATAAAAATATATCTGCAAAAAGTTTGGCTGCATATTTGGTGCAGGAAGTAGGGACCCAATTTTGTGGTAGACTTGCCCTTTAATTGTAAAGGTTGGTGAAAACCCAGGCATGTTCACTATTGTATCTGCCCCAAACGATGTCATGTGAAAGCAGGTGTTGTACCGCCTAATATTTTTCAAAAATCGCTTTGACTCATTAGTCTCACCGAGGAATAGCTCTTTCATAGGTTGTACTGGCTCTTGTGGCCGATGAATAGCAACCTTACCACCAGCACAACACATCCCTACAGGCTCCTCCTTCCACTTTAAAGCTCTGCAGTATCGACATTCAGTATCCATTCGCCCAACTTTTATCAAAACATGACTACTGTAATCTAGAGTTGGGTCGTACTCTAAGGCAGCATTTTCAAAGACGCCCCACGTATTCCTGTGGAACGTTTGCCGCCGTTGGGCAGCCCTTGCCGCAATAACGTTTCTGCGAAATTCAGCTTCCTCAGCAGTTTCTGTAGCTCGCTGGGATGCCATATGAACAGCGTGTTGTTGTCTACGTCGTTCATTCTGCTCCGTCGTTTCAGCTACTCTCAAGCTGGCCTGCCGGTGGGCTTGATCTGATAATCTAAGCTGACGTTCCTCTTGTGTTTCTACTGCTCTGTGAGCTGCCAGTCGCTGAGCATTCTCATTTAATCGAAGCTGACGTTCCTCTGGTGTTTCTGCTGATCTGTGAGCTGCCAGCCGCTGAGCATTCTCCTCTAGTCGAAGCTGAAGTTCTTCTAGTGTTTCAGCTACTCTCAAGCTGGCCTGCCGGTGGGCTTGATCTGATAATCTAAGCTGACGTTCCTCTTGTGTTTCTACTGCTCTGTGAGCTGCCAGTCGCTGAGCATTCTCATTTAATCGAAGCTGACGTTCCTCTGGTGTTTCTGCTGATCTGTGAGCTGCCAGTCGCTCAGCATTCTCCTCTAGTCGAAGCTGAAGTTCTTCTGGTGTTTCAGCTACTCTCAAGCTGGCCTGCCGGTGGGCTTGATCTGATAGTCGAAGCTGACGTTCCTCTTGTGTTTCTACTGCTCTGTGAGCTGCCAGTCGCTGAGCATTCTCATTTAATCGAAGCTGACGTTCCTCTGGTGTTTCTGCTGATCTGTGAGCTGCCAGTCGCTCAGCATTCTCCTCTAGTCGAAGCTGAAGTTCTTCTGGTGTTTCAGCTACTCTCAAGCTGGCCTGCCGGTGGGCTTGATCTGATAGTCGAAGCTGACGTTCCTCTTGTGTTTCTACTGCTCTGTGAGCTGCCAGCCGCTGAGCATTCTCATATAAACGAAGCTGACGTTCCTCTTGTGTTTCTGCTGCTCTGTGACCTGCCAGCCGCTGAGCATTCTCCTCAAGTCGACGCTGACGTTCTTCTGGCGCTTCTGCTAATCTGTGAGCTGCTTGTCGCTTGGCTTTTCGCGAACTTTGGGATAAATTTGACTTACGTTTCTTCGGCATTTTAAGATGTATTTCTTGAATTCAAAACAGCAGTTAACATCGAATCCATAATGACGTGTCGATATTTAGATGCGCAAACCAAAATAAAAACAAAAAAACAAAATATAAACAAATAACTAAAATGGCAGCTGTATTTCTTTAGGATATTTAAATCACATAAACGTTACCTTTAAGTGCTGCATTCTGAAGTTAACCTTATGAACTATTTGGAATGTCTGATTATGTTGCATGATGCCTTTTTTAGTTGGAACAGCTGACTGAATTCTTTAATTCCCTTTAAATATGAATACCCATGAGATTAACATTGGGAACTACAGAACCACTGGGGCGGAGCCCGAAAGGATTTTTGAGATAAGAATATGCTTTAATGTTAATCGGGAATGTGAGCTATCATCATGCCAATTTGTAGCCCAATCCGTCCAGTAGTTTATGCGTGATTGAGCAACACACACACAAACACACACACAAACACACACACAAACATACACACAAACTCACAAACTTTCAGATTTATAATATTAGTAAATTTTATGACCCTCAAAATATGCTACATAGGCCTATTGGTTTGAAATGATAAAATGTTTTGTTAAATCTATACTATTACTAGCTGTACCCGCGGGCTTCGCCCCGTTTAACTTCATAAGTATTCGCATGGCTCATTCACGTCCTGGTTGAAATTTTATGAAGAAACAATGTTGAAACCTTTTGGTAATTATCTTTTTACACACTTTTTATTTTGTATTATCACTCTGTTTTCAAATATGGCTAATCTTGATTCAAAATCTTTTTTTCTCAATCAATATTCTTATTTTTCTAACAAAATTATTACTCTTGAATGTCATATACTATTTATGACATCTTGTTTGAACTACGGTTTTGCTCCAAAAGGTCTTAGACCTAAAATACCTCTCACTGGTGTTCCTCCTCAAGTTAGAGGTAAAATCACAGATTTCTCTATACGAACAAGTCTAGAACTTACAACACTAGTAACAGAAGAATATAAATCACTAAAGAATGAGTATGAACAACAACTGATTGATCTTTATAAACTCATACCACCTCAACATGATGTGATCAATGAAAAACGTAAAATTGACGATCAAAACCAATTAATGAAAACTAAAAGATGTGAAAATCTAAACAAAAAATTGAAAACCTTGTTTGATTCCTCTTCCAATATTGGGCTATGCCCAAATACCAGTTTTAAAGGATTATTAAATTCAGATCCAAACAAAAATTTTCAGCAACCCAATACACAAAATTTTCAGCAACCTAATACAACAAATTTTCAGCATCCCATTGTCCAAAATGAACTTGTTAACAACCTACAGATAAACAGTACTCCTAACCTAAATGAAGAACAAATTAAAACTGAGGGAAATGTAATGAATCTATCTAAATATGTTCTGAATGTAGATGAAATCTCTGTCCTCAATAAAGGTCTCACTTTCTCTCCACGTCCCAAGTTTAATCACTTTGATTTTGTCGCAGATGGTCTCTCTTTTGCTAGAAATGTCAGAATACAATATTATATTAAACAACAACCAAACACAGTCCAAATTCACAGTCCAAATTGTTCAACGCCCAATTGCTTAGATAAATTCAAACCTAAATCAAACTGGGAACCTGATCCTCTTCCTCCTGACCATCCAGTAGAGCAATTCATTAATACTGTAATCTCCAACATTTCTGATCCTAAATTTGAATCCTCACTACATTCAAAGGATAATCTTACAAAAAATGAAAGAAAAGCTATACGTTCATTGAAAGAAAATTCTTCCATAATAATTGTAAAAGCAGATAAAGGCAACAGTACAGTAATCTTGAATCGTGAAGATTATATAAAAGAAGCAGAAAGACAACTGAATGACGCTGAATTCTACAAAAAAATCCCAAATGACCCTACCTTAACTTTCAATGATGACATTTCTAAATTTTTGCAAAAATATGGACCAAATGAAGACCTAAGTCAAGAAACTATAAAACTTTTGAGCCCTCTAAATCCAAGAACACCAATTTTTTATCTTTTACCTAAAGTCCACAAACCCATTCGACCACCACCTGGAAGACCTATCGTATCTGGATATGGATCACCCACTGAAAGGATCTCAGCATTCGTTGATGACACCCTCCAACCATTAGTGAAAACTTTACCGTCATATATAAGAGACTCCAAAGACTTCCTTAATAAAATTAAGAACTTAAACACCCCACTAACGGACAATACTATATTGGTGACAATTGATGTAGTTTCACTATATACTAACATCCCACATGAAGAAGGAGAAAAATCTGTAAAGAAATACCTAGAAAAACGTCCAGTTAACTCCAAACCTAGTGCAAATTTTATTATAAACTTAATTCATTTTGTTTTAACCATGAACAGTTTTAAATTCCTTGATCAAAATTACCTTCAAGTGAAAGGGACAGCTATGGGCACACGTATGGCACCTTCTTTTGCAAACTTATTTGTTGGGCATGTTGAAGAACTTTTTCTAAATTCACAAATTTTGAAACCTTCAATTTGGTATAGGTTTATTGATGACATTTTCATGGTTTGGGAACATGGACTAGAAAACCTGCAAACTTTCCTTGAAAATCTAAATCAATTCTCAATCCTTAAATTTACCTGGAATTTCTCAGAAGATATTGTTACTTTTTTGGATGTTGACGTTTTTGTTAGAGATGGTATGTTAAAATCCAAAATCCATGTAAAGGATACGAATACAATGGATTACTTAGCTTACTCAAGCTGTCATCCTGCACACATTAAAAAATCCATACCAAAAAGCCTATCAATACGAGCAAAAAACCTTTGTTCTGAAAATCGTGATTACCAAAATTATATTGAAAAACTCAGCAATTCACTTAACAGAAGAGGTTATCCTAAAAATTTAATAGACAGTCAAATAAAAAGCTCAAAAAATCCTAACACAGATAATTTCAAAAAAGATCCAAAATTCATCACCCAATACTTTCCTGGCCTTTACAAAGTTAATAATGTTTTAAGAGTGGCACATAATATTCTTTCAAATTCACCTCTGACCCATAATTTGTTTTCCAAACCCCCAAGACTAATATACAAAAAAGCTCCTAACTTAAAAGACATTCTTTCAAAACCCAAACTACCTCCCACTTCCCAACCCTCAGCAAAACCTTCGGGCTGTAATCAATGCAACAAACCACGATGTGCCACTTGCAAATTAATCATCCCATCAAAAACTTTCACAAGCAGGCAAACAAAAAGATGTTATAACATAAATAGTAACATCACCTGTGAGTCTACTAATGTAATTTACCAAATTTCATGCAAAAATTGTCCTAAAGACTACATTGGCAAAACCACCAATGCTCTAAGAGTTCGTATGAATGGCCACAGATATGATGTAAACCATCCTGATAAACTAAAACCTGTGGCTATTCATGCGAGAGAGCATTCTCAAAATTTTGAACAATGTTATTCATTAAAAGGAATAAGAAAATTGGCAAAAGACGCACCAGACTTGAAATTAAGACAGCTTGAGCAAGCTCATCAATTAATACTTAAATCTAAAACACCTTCCGGTCTAAATTTGAGATAGTATATATATACATATATATATATATAAAAATTTTTTCTTTCTTTCTATCAAAACATTTTCTTTTTTACTTCTTCATAAATTATATGTATTTTGGATTTATGCTAAAACCATATGATTCAGAGTGGTAAACACTTCTATTTGTTATTGTGTTTGTTCCTGAAGAAGGCTAATGCCGAAATATAGAAATTTCTATAAAAGTGTGTGATAAGTTTATTTTGAAAATAATTAATTAAAGAGTTATTTAAACACCCATTGTAAATATATCCAAATACAAAATTAGGCTAGAATTGAAAAAGTTTACTGCGATTTATTAATTTCACACTTAATTACTTAATTTAAATTGATTTAGTTTTTTAAGGAAACTTTGGAAATGTATAGAGGGATAAAACATACATAAGAAGTTGTCGTTTGTTTGGGTGTTAGTGGCATTCTATTATTTTAAATTTAAAATTATTATTCACTTTTAAGTACTTCATATCAAGTACAGTAATAGTTGTTATTTTCATCACATTTACATATGTTTTATTATGCCAGAACATTATGAGATAGATTATAATGCGCGAGCATGTTGATGTAGCTTCCTTTATACAAATAAATTAGCGAATCGAATGCAGTGACATGAATTGTCTTACTTAGACCTATTGTATCTCTGCACTTTGTGATATGTACTTGTGTATAAAGCGGCGTTTTAACCGAACTACTTATATGTTTTAGCTGTGTAATACTCTTGTGAAAAATCTCTTTTAACAGCTTTAGCAATCATCTTTATTTGGGATAAGGCGTGTGAAGTTACAGGTTTATATAAATATTAGAGCGTTATTATTAAATAACATATTGAAAATAGTAAGATGAGTGGTGAGCAGGGATATGACACAAACAGCCTTCGATCAACTCTTGCTCAGGTAGATCATCATTATAGAATAATATTAGTGAATTTATCGTGTCCTTGTTCTAATAATATTTTGGATTAAATTAATGTTGCAGACTTTGGCCGCTGTGGGGTTCAGCATTTACTGTGTCAACATTGGCCTCATCCACACAATGCCGACCATCATCATAGGCGATCTCACAAACCAGGACTCGTCCTTGGGTCTCTCGGAGACTCAGGCTTCGTGGTTTGGTGAGTAGATATAGGTTTTGTAACAAAAATATAAAACTGAATTTTGTTAATAAATCATTAATTGGGTATATAATGTGAACGCTTAGAAATAATTTGTAGGAAAATAATAGGATTTACGTACCTCTGTCATATAGTCAAATGGTTAAGATTGTTCAGTAGCTTACATGTTTAGTTGCGAACATAATAAGTCACTGAGCAATCTTAACCGTTGAACTATTGTTGTCTTACCAATATAGTCCTAAGGCCAGAACCATGAATTTTGAAATAATATATAAATGTAATTATACAATCGAGGGAAGTATGTTCGTGGTAGCAATGTAATGTATGGTTACAAATTGTAATGTAAAAGGAGCTAGCAGAAACCAATTCATTCCCATAATACCCGTTGTAGAGTTATGGAATATAAATTCGTGATTGTGATGGGGATTTTTTCAAACTGGATTATGTAAAAAGAATTTACGTTTTTATTATTAACTGTCCATAAATCAGTGTATTTAGCAATGTGAGAAGTATCAGATCCGAAAAAGGCATGAGATCAAGAGCTAAGCTCCACGTTCAGTTTATATACGTCTAGAAATAAAATTTATCTCCAGTAGGTTTATTCCAACAGACACATATCTTGACCAAGTCTCACATTACCTATTAGATGAGCCTGTTCTATCATTAACATATTTTATAATTTATAATTTTTATTCAACAGGCAGTCTGTACTACATCATGCAGCCCTTTGGTAGTCTAGTATCAGGTATTCTGCAGGACTCACTGGGAAGGAAGAGGTCTGTCATGATGATCAATCTACCCCAACTGACTGCTTGGGCTATCCTATACTTCTCATCGTCCCCCACGCATCTGTACGTCTCTATCGCTCTCATGGGCCTCTCCATCGGCTTCCTGGAGGCCCCCATCCTCTCCTACATCGGGGAAGTAACCCAGCCTAGACTTCGAGGGGTCTTCAGCTCTTTCATGGGGATTTTCTACAACGCCGGCCTCATGGTGGAGACGTTCCTCGGGGCATCGTTACCATGGCGCACCATGGTCTTGTGGAACATGATCGGTCCTCTGGTGGCATTCTTTGCTATGGCGATGGTATAGTATATTTCATTACTAGGACCGAAAGTGGCATTTTCCGGCGCGTGCTCAAGTTTTTCCAGGGAACCCCAATTTCACGTGAGAGGCGTAGCCGAGTATGTGAGAGCTATTTTCACGTACGAGGCGAAGCCGAGGACGGGAATAATGGAGCAAGCGCCGGATAATAACTTTCGGTACGAGTTATGAACGATACTTTTCATCATGACGCAAAAGTACACATACACGGATTAGCATACCTCAGTAATATTACAGCTATTTTATTTCTCAATTAATTTGATTGAAGATCAAAATAAAATAAAATCTAAAAGGAAACCTACGTATATTTTGTATTCATTAAAGCAAAAAATAGGAGAAAATATTCTAAAGGAAACCTACGTATATTTCTCAGTACATTTTGTTTAAACATCAAAATAAAAGAATAAGACAACTTTTAACAATACATACAGCTGATTCAAATCATTAAATTAAACCGTAACAAAACACTAGCGCGCGTAGTGAATAAATGGAGCACTAACTGAGAGCGAGGGAAAATAAGCTGATCTATTTTCCCTCGCCCTAAATTAGAGCTTGGGAAACGACTAGTTTCATTGATGTCAGCTGTTATCGAAAATAGTTACTTTCGTTACGGAGTGATGAAAAGTATATTTATAACGTTAAAACCGTTTGAAGAACATGGTACTGAAGACGTTTATTAATAGTTGAAGCTATTTAATAGTAGTTTACGCAAAAGGCTCGTACATTAAATTTTATACTCGTGTCGTTAACACTAACTACGCGAGTTGCGTACACTACTTTACCTACGACAGTGTTTTAATTACAGTACTAAAAATCACTAGTTACTCATAAACTCTTAGAGAGGTAATGTTATCGTTTGTAACCTATCATTGCAACTGACAGTGATGCAACGAAACATTGTACAAAACACCAATTTCACCACTCAACAATTAAATTGGCCTGAACAGCTGATTAGTTGAGGTTTGAATCATTACAATTTTACTTCTTCTCTATCAATCCTTGAACCTCATTGGTCCGTTACCCGTGTTGTTATGAGTAAACCCATTGACTATACACGTAAAACTATACTGTTATGAAAGTAAACAATGTTTTTATGTACAGTATAACTTTTCAATTCTAAGAACTGAACTGAAACGGCTACTTTAAAAAACTGTCGTAGGTAAACTATGTTACACCATCCTTCACATTTAGCTGCCAGAATCCCCTGCATGGCTGGTGACTAGAGGCAAGATTGCAGAAGCAGAGAAAGCTTACCAATGGCTGAGAGGATGGGTGTCTACGGAAGCAGTGAAGGAAGAGCTAGACACCCTTGTACGTTACGTAGGGGACTTCCGGGGACACTCTGTAAACAGCCCAGAGTACAGGCTTGTAGCACCTGATGAAGGTATGATGTGTGGATTAGATTTGTTGGTTTTGAATGACCTAACAATATATTTTAATGGTTCTGTGCATTCATTTGTTCAGATGGATTATTATATTCACCTAATGTGTAATCTAAATTAAAGAATTTACTATACATTCCGGTGTAGATCTGGTTTAAACCTTGGTCACTTACGTGTGAGTGAAACTGAACTAAAGTGGAACATGAAAAACATTATAATGATGTTTGCTCCAAGCTCAACACTTAGAACTAAATTGTAGCGACTACAGTTATACAAAAGGAGATTATTGCTAAAAATCATTTGTTGGTCAAGTAAGTAATGCAAACTATGGTTTAACATAGTTAAGGTACTAGTGTGGAGAAATACGAATGGCTCAGGTTCTGGAGGTCATACCAGGTTACCTTATAACCATCTTACAAAAAAGGCTGACACTTTTAAAATTAAGACGACATGATATGATCAATTTAAAAACCACATATTGCAACAAGCAGTGCTAATTTCTAATCTTAATCAGGTTTATGTCGTATATTAATTGTTCAAATGATGGCAAGTTGACCCGAAATTTAATTTTAATCATATTTCAACATATTTCTATTCAGTAGGTCCAGATATAACCCGACAGAAGAGGTGCAACAATCGTTGGAAAGTTATCATGGAGCCAGAAGTTCGCACAGCTTTTCGCATCATTCTCGTATTTTTCTCTGTTGTACCATTTGCCAGCTTGTTTGCCATGAGGCCATTCTTCATACAAATTCTTGAAGGTCTTAATCTACCAGTCCAGTCTCACATTATTGTGGTACAGTAAATATGATATACTTATAGCTTTACCAATGCTTTGAAACATGTGCCTATTATAACAGAGAATATACAAAATAGTACTACTCTAAGGGTAAAAAATAGTCGAGTTATGTTAGTAGTAATAGTTATGCTAAATACGAAAAGTTATGCTATAATAACACATTTAATTTAAATTACGAACGAAGAGAGTTATTTTTCATACAGGCTGTTTATAATGAACTTTACCATTACTTATTTTCTACAATACTTTGTATATTACTATTTGTGTAATATTTGTATTACATTTCTATGATATATTACTCGTATGATTTGTTATTATTGATTCAACTGAATAAACAAATACAATTTAATTATTGTAAATTTATTATCAAGAAATACCTGAGAGTTCCAAACCAAAATGTGCATAACCAAAGCTTCAACCCTTTTGCAGGCGATCTGCGGGGCTGTCTCCTTGCTGGGTGCGGTAACTCTAGGTGTCTCGGTAAAACACTTGGGCAAAAGATACCTCACATTTCTTTCCCTGGGGGCCAACATTGTCTGCATCTATGGTATAGGTGGTTATCTCTTAGCAGGAATCAATCTACCTTGGATTCCTGTAGTTCTGTTTTCTTTGACTTACTTCTTCGGGACCATTGTGGCTACCATTCCATGGATGTACCTGATAGAATTATTTCCCTTACGGTAAGATGGAGCAGGCAACTATTATATAATTATATATATGTTTGAGATGGTGTTGGTGCTTCTTTTCAAAATAGTAGTTTTAGAAGAATATAGTTGATTGAATAGTTTACTTTAAAGTAAGATTTAGTATAAACGTTATTGTTCTCTGCAATATACTTGTTTGACGAATTTCTTTTGTTTTAATGAAATTTTTCCTATTAAACTTTTGAATTACTTGACCGTGGTTGGAATACCATACAAGATAGTTTTCAATGTGACTTTAATTTAAATTGTGTACATTTCTTTGCAGAGCCAGAAGTTTAGGCAGTGGTTTAGGCGCGGCTTACGCCTACGTCGTATTTTTCGCGGGAACCAAGACCTACTTCAACGTAGTGTCCTGGCTAAACGTCTCTGGGACATGCATCCTCTACGGGACCGTGGGACTGCTTGGGATGGTCTACCTGTACCTGGACCTACCAGAGACCGAGGGCCAGACTCTGGAGCACATAGAGATGGACCTCAGAGGACGACGATCAGGTAGAAGAGGAGAGGATGATGTGCGCGTGGAAGCGGGTGATGGTAAAAGACAAACCGAACGTGAATAGGTCTTAAATAACCACCGCAAACTGTTATAGGTCCGATTGAATTTACGTTAGGCCTACATATATAGACGTCCCAACTACATGCACCAGCCAATGTATCAATGGAAAAAATCATTACCTTACAATATCCTTATCGTTTGTCTGGTCAAAATACATGTGATACGTTACAACTGCCACATCTTCAGGTTTAACCTCTTCTAAGATTCGTAATTATATTTATTATTGAATCCAAGACACACGTTGACAAAAAAAGTTACAAAAAATATAATGTACAGTCACCACCAGCACGACCAAACGCGTGCACGCACCATGACGTTGATCGTATATGGATATATTTTGATCAAACTTGGCAAATTTATTTATTTTGTACTAAGCTATTCATATTTTACAAAAACACACTTCATTACCCTCTCTTTCGCAGAAAACTTAGCTACTTGTTAAACCTAATGTTAAAAATATATTTGATTAAAAATCGAATACTGGTAAATGGAAATTTGCTTAAGCTGCAGGTTTGCTGCGGTGGTGGTATCATTTTAACTAACGTAACATTTGACGATATACCTGGTACCAGAATACCTGATAAGTGTAAATATTAACTTAAAGTTTTTACTAGTGATTTTTAAAGGTTTGATTTGTATAATAAAAGCCTGTTTGTATTGTTTAAGTGATTTATTGACGATGGAAGTTAAAAGGGACTATAGAAAGGTGTTAGACGAAAATAGGTAAAAATTAATAATGTTTCTCGTGATAAAGATATCTTTTATATTACTATTTTTTACCTGAATTGTATCAAATCTTTGGGGTTTTATTGTTTCAAATAAAATTATAAACAGTTTTACCCAAAGACTTTAATAAACTTATCTCAAGATTTATTGTGACATACGTAAATACAATCTGTATAATCTGTAAATATTATTTTACCATTATGAAAGATTGCTCTTAGTTAAAAAAAACGTAGTTAACATCTGAATGATTTTGGGACGGATTGGATGCTTTGTGCTTTTTTTATTGACAAATACTGGTTGTTTCCTTAGCCAGGTCCAACATAATGCTATTTTGGTGCTAGTGTAGTATCACAATTTATGTTGTGTATTTGTAATCTATATATACTCTATATACAACACTATCTTCAAACAATACAGAATTTATCAGTGTGGTAGTGCAGTAAAGCAACGGTTAGTTAAACAAAGCTTGACTTCTACCATTAAACTGGCCTACTTTTTCTACCATCAAAATGCTAAAGACACGTTGTAACACTGTTTTGCATTAAAGAAGCTTGTTGTAAATGTTTATCACTGTAAAGCGAGACTTCTGCTTTGTTGGCGAATGAACCTTCATACAACATTACCAGAGTAAGAAGAGAGTTTATTTGATAAAAACAGGCCACATTGGCTCCCAGATAGACAAAATCATGTGGTATACTCTAAAAGTGTGAATGGTTATAACACTAAAGTATTTCAATTTTAACAGTTTAGTGACAGGTTACCATAAAAATAATAAAACTGCTGAGGCACACATGTAGCAAAGTGTAGCAATATCTGGGGTTGTAATGATTTTCCAATAAGATGTTTGCAGGACGAGGTGTAAGGGATGACTCAGCGAGAATGACTGAGAAAAAACTGTGACTCAGAGGCGAAACAAATATCATGTTTGTCGTTCGTAATTGTAAATAAGATTTGACAGGTTTATTAAACTTAGTTCTTTGTTTTGAGTGGTTTTATATCTTATTTGGCTTTATTAGACTTTTTTCTGAATCATTCTTGTGTTTGCCTAACATAATAGTTCTTTTCCGACAAAGGAATAGATCTTATTTGGAAAATTCAATATGGTATAAGTTTATAAAAAGCTTAAATAGCTACAAAATTAAAAAATAATACAGAATAAAAAATGATAAAGAAATATTATAAATAATTGTTATGATTTCATTAACTACCTAACAAACCATAAAAGTATTATCGACCTAAAACTAATCTCTGAAGAATGCAAACAGGATAAACTAAAATTAATTAATATATTTACTTGCGCGGATATCCACTGTATATTTGCACGCAATCAAAATGAATAGCAATTCAGGAAAACGTTGTGTTGAGTATTATAAAAAAATAGTTGTTCACTCTAAAAGGAAGTTTTTTGACAGTACTAATGGTTACACAAATAAAAAGTTCAGAACACGTTGTTAAGTTAAACATAATATGTTCAAAAAGTGTCCGTTCAAAAGCTTTTCTAGTACTAATGAGTAAAATATTTAAAAAGGTTCTTCTCCAACATATAGTTTAATAACGTACTTGTGACTTTCGAATACTTTTTGTGATTTGTCTTGGACAATAAACTTTGGCGTTCTACAACCCACTCACACCAAGTTGACACATCACTTAGTGACGAAAGCTCTCTCCTAATGTAAGTTCCTTTTAACTACTAGCCAGAGGTTTTGTAAACCATCGAACTACAACCGTAGTCAAAAGTTTATTTTTGTTTGATTTTGAGTCAACATAGTGCCCTGCCCTATGAACACGTTAAATTCTTGTTATGCGTTGTTGTTGCGTTATCGTTTTAACACATCCGTAATTACTATCTAAATTCTGAAATACAACTTGGGAACTAATTGATTACATAATTTTGTGAGAACAAAAGTTTTTTACCTGAACTGCAACACAAATCTAGTGGGGCTGATATTAAATACTTTTTTGCTAAAACTATATACAAAGAATCTTGTACAAAAAACGTGTAATTGGTTTTCTTGTACACTACAGGAAGTTGGTTTTATCGTAGGACATAGCCTTAAGTGAACATTTAAAATTCTCAAAGAAAACTCCTTAAATAATCAAAACTTCAAATTGGAATACTGCATATAACAAATATTGTTTTTCTGGAATTCTTTCAGAGAAATGTCAAAGAAGCTAGTTGTGTAACTAGCTTCTTATAGTCACATGTTACATGTTATTATTGAGTAAAATATCACAACTATAATTTACATGCAGCTATACTAATTATATTTGATACCTTATTCTGTATCTACTGTAAATTGTAGTAATAACTTTCTTGTAAGCTCTATAGCTACGAGGGGACCCATGAGTAAATTGTGCAATTTTATTATACTTGGAAGCTGGTTTCTGAGGCAAAGCGAATAACGCAATACCATTTTACCTTTCAAAGATTGTTTGTTTAAGACAGTTAGGTGATTAAAACTACTAATCGTCAGTCGATTGCAAGTGTAGAACAAGTGTTTTACCAACTTCAACCAGGTTACAATTACCACTAAAATGTATAAAAGTGGTCAGCCTAGCTATTTAAAATAAATGTACAGGTATGTCAGTGTCACAAATTTTTAGTTAATTCAAATTAAGAACTCCAACGTGAACCTGAGAAAATGTTAGGATGTCAGGATCTGTCAATGGTACCCTAGGGAAGCCACAGCTGATGCAGTTATTATTGATGTGGGTTCTACACCCAATCTCTTCTATACCGCTGATAGAAAACATGTATCAAACAACATATTAATGTCAAACACATTTAATGAGGAAAAGGTTTATGTTATAAGCCTCTAGACATATTGAGAAAAATATATTTGACTAGTAAAACACTTAAACAGGTATACAGTTTTTACGATTTCAAAAAATAAGGAATTATTTTTAATTCAAGGGCTATATACATCATCGCCAAGGTTACATTTCTGTCCAAATTTCTAAAAAAACGAGTTTTTATGTCATGGTAATTTTAGAAGCTACAGAAGAAAACCCATGTCGTAGACATAAAGTAATATAAAGATAGGAATTAATAAACGATAAGTAAATGTAACACTTAAAACTAAGACATAAGATACATACGCCATAATAGTACTACATAAACAATTTATTTTACAGTATATGACTTCTGTTGACTTTTTCAAGATTAAAATCCTCTTTTGCGTTAAACGCCTGTTATGTCACAGATCAGTTCCAGGATGCAATAAGTCTCCTCTGTCACAGTGATACGCTTTAGATTGCTTGGTTTTTAATCATTTACACAACGGTTGCTTTTCAAAGTACATTATTCCGTAAAACGTTATTCGTACTACATTTTATACTTGCGTGTAACTGTGATTAATTTTTTAATTAATTTTTTTTTGTTAGAAAGATTATAGTTTTTGAACAAAGCGTTAAGACTAGCATTCTAATCTTTTTCGTGAAAATATCCAATGATAAACGCATAGCGCTTTGTATCAGAATGGATCATGTAGTTAAGCCGTTAAGATCTCTAACATGGTTTGGTCGCTGTGAACATCCAATCGCTTGATTGTTATGGCTCTCGATTCGCACCAAACATGGCAACTAAATTGTCATATGAGTTTTCAACCATCCATACATAATGATTCTAAAAACAATGGTCGTTGAGTAAGGTAAATTCAAATAAATTATTATCTAAAATACACTCAAATCTTCTGTCTAAAAGAATTTTACAGGTAAACATAGAACACGTTGAAATTTAGAACACATACTATGTTCTAAATGATTTTGTAAGATTGGCTAAAACCGATGCTGTAAAGATTGTAGAAGTAGAATGATTCTAGTGACTGTCAGATACCGTGTATTAATATTTCATAACTACAAATTATAGTGCGTTCAAACAGCCGTGGCACCTGAGGGATTAGGAGGCCCCAAGGGTTTCCATGGGGTGTCCTAATCCGTCAGGTGCCACGGCTGTTTGAACGGAGTATAAGAGCGGAAGCATGATCGATTACTTTGAATTCATTGTTAGTTCACTATTTGAAACAATGTATTAAATTGGTGAATAAGCGTTTTAAAGTACTTAAGACATTACCTATTTTTCAACGAAAATACACTAAATAGTCAAACCTGTATGCCTATGACAAACGTGAGGTACAAATTTACCTTTATTGTAAGTTAGCGTCTTTGAAAGTGACAGCTGTTAAACTCAACAAACCTAACTCAAAAACAGTAACAACAAAAAACTAATGAACAGCTAAAAAAACAGTATAAGGAGTATAAATATTTTTTTTATTTAATTAAACAAAAGAACCATTTGACAGATATTTTTAGGTTTTTTTACTGTTTGTCACTTTCCTTAATGTCGTTCACATTAAATTTAAAACTAAGAGATTTAAACATCGTGATATGAGAAACCCACTTCATGCTGAATAATTGAAATTTCCAATATTACTTACTGACAATTTCTACTTGAGCTATCTTCTTTAGAGATAGATTCCTTTTGACGATTTGTAAGGAATATATGACACA